GAATCCCTTGTACTCTTTTTCTTTCTAATTGTCCTGCCTCCTTACTGTCTCTGGGTTGAGGGCTCCTGAAATTGTTGCTGGTGCTGCTGCCCCGGCTGCCTCCAATGCCCATCGATGGTGCTCTTGCTGTGCCTTGGGCCTGTGCCCACCCCAGTGCTACAGACCTGTCCTGTGGACCTCATAAGTTTGTAGGCTGAAAAATGTCTCCCTCTGACCTTTAGTTAGCTCCGCTGCTCCACAATTTGATGAGACATTTCAAAGTTGTTGGAGGGGAGTGTTGCTGGAGAGTCCAGCTGGGTTACTGCCTGTTTTCCACAATCTTGTCTCTGCCCCAGTTGCCTCCTTGTTGATCTCCCCGCCTGTAGTCTCTTCCCTCCTGAGTCATTTCCTACATAACTACCAAATTGGAGTTCTTAAAAGAGACATTGCTCCTCCTTAGTGGCTCTCTGTTGCCTCAAGATAAAGACCGAATTCTGAGCTTGTCATTTAAGGCCTTTACCATCTGGCTCTTGCCTCCCTTTATTTCATATCACTCCACTCCTGTGTTCTCCATTTCAGTATAACTGACCTGCTAGTGGCATAATATTGTCTCCCTGGTCTGCAGAGTGCCATAGTCCTCTCCAGAAACCTCGTCCTGTGTCTGGGATGGTTTCCTTTCTCTCCTCCCCTCCCCTCTGGGTGCCTGCCATGCCTCACCAAAGGTGTTGTCTGTCTGTCTGTCTTTCTCTCCCCTACTTTGCGATTCCCTTGGCATTGATTGACATTTCTTGGACATATATTTATTGACACCTCCTCCCTCCCCAAGTATAAGCTCCTGGACCAGGGCACATTTATTTGAATTGTTCTCTTTTGTATCCCTAGCACCTAGCACAGGGGCTAGACCTTGGATTTCTTTCCTACAGGGAATTTCCAGGTGAGGAAGCTCCTCTACTAATTCAGTTTGGAAACTTTCTTTGCATCTTTTTTAGTGAGAGAGAGTTGCCTAGAGCCCCGGGCCTCAAGAAGACAAGTGACTTGCCTGGCATTATGCAGCCAGTTGTGTATTAGTTGGCATTTAAACCCATGTCTTCTAGCTTAGAGGCCAGCTCTGTATCCTTCCTGCCAAGCTGCCTCTCTCTGCTTTGTATATACTAGGTGCTTAATATATGTTTATTCACTTGAATTGAATTGGTTTCTTTTCCTTCAACAAAAATTTAGTGCTTTCTATAAAATATCTACAGGGTAGATGTTTTGGAGGATATATTTCTCTGCCCCCTGAGGAGTTTTAAAGTCTGTTGAAGGGAGAGGGAGAAGATGATTCCCTCTTTAGTTTTTTTCATAATGGAATGAATATCATAACTATGTATTATGTAAGAGAGTACAAAAGGTATCTTTTGTTTTGATAAGTTAGGATGCTTGTTTTTTTAGAAAGGGAACCTGATTAATTGGTAAAGTGCATGTTTTTTTTTTCATTAACCTGGTATTGTGCCCACTTAAAAACTTTTTTAGAGTATGCTTCCATTTCAGACTATAGGAATAGATTAGAATGATTAATTCTGACTGCTGTGCTTTAGTGGGTCTAGCATTTAATACTTTGGGAACTTAAAAGTGAGTATAATTACAACACAGTGTCATGTAACTGTACAGCTAGATGGGACTTTCAGGGTCAGCTATCTAGTCTGACCTCATTTTACAGATGAGCATAATTAGAACCTGTTTAAGGTCCTGTTGCTAGTTGGTGACAGGACTAGACCTAAGACTTGTCTTTTAACTCCCAATTCGGGTATTTTTAACTGATTAAAAATTATCATACATGATCAATATAATTTAAACTTACCTTTCTGTGTGTGATATAACAGAGTACTTTAAATTATTTTAAATGATTTATTACTCCAGGCTACTAGCCTCTGATGGAATGTTGGTTTAAAAAAAGAGGGAAAACGCATGGATTCAGGAATCTGTAGATCTGTGAACTTGATGTCCACCATTAGTGAAATTAATTTGATTATTTGACAGTTGGTTTGTATGCACTTAGAAAGGGAAGTGGTGAAACCTAGAAGCTAGATTTTGCTAATTAAGAAAAAGTCATGCCAAACTCGCCTCATTTCATTTTTTAAAATAGGGTTATTAGATCAAGAAAATACAGTGGACAAAGTGTATCTGGATTTCAGCGAGGCTTTTGCCAAGTCCTTGGTGCCGAAGAATCGTGTGAAGTAAGATCAGTACATGCCCGGGTCTTCTTGTATGCATGGTGTCACAGCCCTGGCCGAAACTTGTGGCCTTCTGACTGTCATCATGAGTTACTTGGAGCAAGACCTAGAAGGCTTGCTTGTCCCACCCTCCAGTAATACAAGGAAGGAGCATTGGGTGACAGCCCAAGGGTTAAGCAAAAGAAATTTAACGGGCTGGAGGAGTGGCTGCAAGGCGCTAAGTGTGATGAAGTCTGGATTAGGTTAAAGGGTAGGATGTGCTAACTAATGCCTGCTTGGTTTTGGTGTCTGACTCTGCTTGACCCCGGGGACTCTGCACCTCCTAGCTGCTGTGGCAAATGGCTTCTAAGAAAAAGGACTTTGTGTTTTTCACCCATTTAGCTCACATTGTTATTTTTTGGGATCATTGTTTTTCTCTTACATGATCATACTTGGCTGAAAGGTTCAGGGACAGAGAGACCTAAGACTTAATGGTAGAGCCCAACTTGGAGCTAATGACCAGTATTGTTCAGTCTTCTGAGCCCCATCGTACATTGCATGTTGAGATTCAGTCCTCAGAACCCTCTTCCCTTGGATCTGGCTTTATTCAGGGAGTTTGTTTGGATACATCAATAAGACTGACAGCTCTTTTCCAGTTGGGATTATTTCCTTCTTTGTCTTTATGTTCCTGGGTCCTAGAACAGTGCCTGTTACATGGCAGGCTATTGATAAGTTCTGGTTGATTGTTTGATGGCTAAGATCCATAGTGTACTTAACAGTTGGAAAAAGCTTATTCTAGAAACTGACCTTGAGAGAGGCAGATGAGAGAATTGTCTGTCAAGTGGTTTGTCAACTCTAAAACACCATTTAAATAGAATACTGGTGTAGACTAGAAGCCCCTTGAGGGCAGGGGTCATTTCCCTTTTTTGTCTTGAGTTAAAATGAACAAATAACAGCGTTACTGTCACCAACATTATGTAGACAAGAAAAATGAAGAACAGACAAGGTCAGTGATGAGGTTAGTCCACAGTCACATAGGTAGTAACATCAGGGCTGCGATCGAATGAGAGGTTTTCTAGTCTGTCTGTTGAATATTCCTTACTGCCATTAAGTGATGACCCTTAATAAGATATTTTTAAGGTTGTTGACTTTATTGTAAAAATTCAATAATTTCTTAAATTTATTACTAATAATAAGAGGCATCAGGTATAGCGTACAAAGCCCTGGGCTTAGAGTTAGGGAGATTTGGGTCCATAACCTGCTGCCTCTTCTAGTTATTTGCCTTGAACACGTTGCTTAACTCCCTAAGTCAGAGAAGGGTTGCTATTTGTTTTGGTGGAGGGAGTTCCCACCCTGGAAGGATCTCACCCCAACACCAAAATGAGACATCTTTACTATGTGTAATATGTGTATTGGTGTAACATTAATAAATGATATAGAGAAGTGATGTATTTAGAGAGCCAGCAAGAATTGGAATTCTTTTTGGTGTTAGAGAAAAAAAAAAGCAGCCACTCCTCTCCAGGAAGCTGGAATCTAGCCAGGGAAAGGAGATGTACACATAGGTAAAAGCTCTTGTGCAGATTAGGACATGATTAGAATACACAGGAGAGGAGGAGGTGCTGTAATGCATATGAGAGGCTGGGAAGAGAGAGTTGGTTTTTTTTTGAGGAGAGCCAGGACTGCCTTGGAAAGACATCCCTGCGAAGAAGGGGTAAGATTTCTAGTTAATAGGGTCTGAAGGATATTTCTTAGTTGATAGGGTCTAAAGGATATTTCTATAATGCTGATTCAAAGCACTGATTCAAAGCTGAGCTGTAACTATGAAACATTCATCATAGTTTCTATGTGATGAGGTCATCCTTTGTAGCTAAAATCCTTCTAGTGCTAAGGTAGACTTTTATAATGAATATCTTACTAGAAATCTGTTCATTAAGAAATACTTTTCCATTGGATTTGAATTTTAACATATGGTCTCTCTTAGCATTGTGACTAGAGTTGTGCTCAACCAGTCTGCTAGAGATAAAACAGGTGAGAAGAAGTATTTACAGCCAAGTCAGGGAGAGGAAGGCAGCCCCCTCAAATCACATGTCCCTTTTCCCTTATTAATTGCTGGATATTTTGATGTGGTTAATTGTGAGACAACTTCTGGCATTATCTGAGGAATTTCTGGAATGATGTCAGGTGTAAAGTGTTTTGGGATATTGAAGTTTAACTACTCTTTAATAGCAAGAAAAATGAGTAATGAAAAAGAGGTCATGATTTTTTTTTCCACCATTGTTTTTGTTTGAACGTAAGTAGCATGCATTCATCACCTTTAATCAAAGGGCAAACCCATTGGTTTCTTAGGTCAGGGACCAGAGAAAGCATCTGTTCTGGAAAATTGGTTATGACCAAGTCACCAAAACACAAATGGACATATACACACATACATATGTGTATATGTACATATATGTATATGTACATGTGTGTGTATGTGTGTGTAGAGACAGACGGATATAGCAGTTGCTTTAACCTTATTCTACAGAACCTCTTTTGATAATTTTATTGTAATGCAATTTTACCTCTAGGACCTAATCTATGTAGCTTTTGTCAAGTAGAACAGAAATAGCTCTTTGTCTAAAGTGGGTAGGAGAGGAGTCTAGTGGTGGGGCCTGAAGAAGAGGGAGAATTATGGTGGACACATAAAAGTATAATTATTCAGATCTCTTTTCCTAAATCTTGATGATAGTAGAACTAGAGAAGATTGTACAGGTGAATATATGGATGGTTTTGTTTGTAATCTTGTATCTCCATGTATATTCAGTTAATAATTTAGTGCTTTTCCTTTTTTAGGAAATGGAATCTTGGCAGCCCCTTAATGTAGAAGTGGACAATTCCCACAACCTGCTTGCATCTGTAGCCAGGCTTAATATGAGAAGGGAAGAAAGTGACCTCTCTGAATTCCCTTCCATGGAGGAGGGGATGCTGACTGTATCAGAAGAGGATTCAAAGGAACAGACTGGAGGAGCTTCATGTTCCCCATTATTAGGTAATTCTCATATCATAATAGTTGATGATAATGATGAGTACAGTTATAGTAATGATGAAGCTTCACATTTTTGTAGGGCATGTTTTACTTTTCATAACACTTTCATATATATTCCCTTCAGAAAAATTTTTATTGATGTTTTGTTGGCAAACTAACTTCCTCTATATCCCCTCAAATCCAAATACTTGGAAACTATTACGCAAAACAATACCAACAAATGATTGTGAATGATTACATATGCAAGCATGCCCTTCTCTTACCGTTTGTTAAAGGAAAGGAGAATGGAGGAAAATACACAACAGTTATTGTAACTAAATATGAATGGGGTGAACTCACTCATAAAATGGAAGATGATAATACAGTGGACTAGCTAGCAGAATCCCACAATGTCTTTTATATGAGGAATACACTTTAAAGATCCACACGGAAAAGAAACGTACATAAAGATTCACAGTTAAAATAAGACACTATTATGCTTAGGTTGAAAAAAAGGACGTACACAGTCTGATTAGTCTCCAGAGATCTCAGATGCAGTATACTACCCCTCCTGACAGAATGGAGATGGACTCAGGTTATAGAATGAAGCATACATTTTTGGACATGGCCAGTGTGAGAACTGGTTTTGCTTGACCATGTGTATATGTTAGAAGAGTTTTGTTTTTCTTTTTTTTAATGTGGGAGGAAGAGAAAATTAATGCTTGTGAATTGACAAAAAGTAAAAAACTACATTAAAAATAAGAGGAAGGCCATCTACTTTAATGACTGAGAGCATTTTTTCATGTGATTGTTGATTGGATTTCTTCTTTTGAGAACTGCCTATTCATATCCTTTGTGAACATATCTTTTTAAAGCCTAAATTGCTTAGCTTTTTCTTTCTTACTACAATTGTTTCCCTTTTTATCTTCAGAATTTCATGCTTTTTGAGTTTGCTATCCTTCTTGTCTGACTTCTGCTATAGAATTTGAGTCCACAGGATCCTACCTTGTTTTCTTTTGAACTACTCTTCTCAAAATCCATGGTACATGTCAGACTTTGGCTTTTTTCTTCTCTGTCGTAAATTCTAGGAAGGAGGGGTCTCTTTTCTTCCTCCTCTCCTTCCCCAAGGTTTTCCTTTATTTTGATCTCAGCAGCTACTGCTTCCCTATTAGTGAGAATCAGATCCAGAATAGAATTTTCCATTGCTAGTTCTTCCACTTTTTAAATGATGAAATGACTATTAAGGTTAGTTGCATTGTTTTTGGCACAGAGAAAGCTTCAGCAGATTTATGGATAATTGAAGGTCCCTATCACTTTGGCAGACTGGTGATCTGTTTCGTGAACTCACTTGTTTTCTTCTTTCTGTTCATGTGATCTCTCATATAGTAAAAAAAAAATTGTACTCTAGGTTTATTGTGACTACACCTTGGTGCTGTTCTATTTGAAGGAAAAACTGAGACATTTTAAGCCTCTTCAAGTCAATCGATAAATAGGAACTAAGACTCAGAGGTTCCTAAGCCTAATCAACTACTCTGTTTACTAAGTAATACAGCTTCCTGGGCTTTGGGTTCCAGGTGTTAGATGCCATGTCATACATCACTTTCATCTTTGAGGGGGGTTTATCCAAGCTGCAGATTTTATCTTCTTATTACCTAAATTGCAATCCAGACAACTGCTACTCACGCTTTCTGTTTTAAATATTCTTAAAATTTGTCCATCTTGGAAAATAGACAAAAATCCCTACATTTTTACATTCTTCAATTTGGAGGAGCTGATTATTTCCCTTCTTGAGCTGTTGAATGGTACCAGAAATTTGTTGGACTATTGTTTTGCTACTGACTTGGCTGAATTTAATTGATGGATGGAGCAAGATAAACAAATACATTATTTGTTTCTCAATTTTCAAGTTGTTTCTGTGTTTTATGAAGAAAGGTGCTGTAGAAATATATAGCAAATTATCTGGTTTCATCATTGACTATGTTGCTTACATAGTTCTTATTTTTAGCTGCAATAGATAACTGAATATCACATTCTCTTTGAATAATTTTTGTCAGAAATACATTCTCTTTTTGAAGCTTTGATAGGACCTTTTATTTGTAAATTACATTTTATATTGTCATGGAACTTTAACTTTCTTGAGTGCATGTCTCTTGAAAAGAGAGCAAGAACAAATTCAAAAGCAAATTTAAAGCCAGAATTCAGAAATGAAAGACAACAATCATTTCATTTCTGAAGAAAGTCAGAATTTAAACTTTAGAATATTAAGAGGCACTTTTTTTTTATTTGAAAGAAAAAAAGTCAACTTGTCATTTAAGCTGGATGGCCCAGGGCAGGATACAGACTGATAATAAGAAGTGTTAAACAGGGCTTCTACTCATGGCAGTGAGTCTGTGTTCTTGGTACATGGTGAGTGTAAAATGTGTCCTGGACATCCAGTTTGAGGTGACAGAAAGGCAGTTGGAAATGCTTGATTGAGGGTCAGCAGAGAGACTAGGGCTGCATAAGTAGATTTGGGAAGCACTGGCATAGAGATGCTTATTAAGTCTTTGGGAGCTGATGAGATCACCAAGCGAGAAAGTAGAGAGCAAAAAGAGAAGGGCCCCAAGACAGAACCTTGGGGGGACATCTACAGGTAGTGAGAGTGATGTGGGTGAAGAACCAGCAAAAGAGACTGAGGAGGAGCAGTTAGACATATTGGGAGAAAACCAGAAGAATGGTGCCTTATTAAAACCTGGAGAGAAGAGAGAGTATAATCAGCAGTGTTGGAAGCTGCAGAGAGCTGCAGGAGGAGCAGGATGGAGGAAAGGCTGTGAGATTTGACAATTAAGAGCTCCTTGGTAACTTTGTAGAGGGCAGTTACAGGTGAATGATGAGGTTAGAAACCAGATTGCAGAGGATTCATAAGAGGATGAGAGGAGAGAAACTGGAGTCACCTACCTGTCTGTAGAGAGGCTTCTCAAGAAATTTAGCTGAGAAGGATGATGTGAGGGTGTTTTAAAGATGCAGATATGTGGTTGTTTGTAGGAAATAGGGAAGGACCCAATGCATAGGAGAGGTTGATGATTTGAGAGAGAGTGGGGATGATAGAAGGGGTAATCAGTTGGAGAAGACAGGCAGAGATGAGATCAAGAGTGAATGGGAGAAGTTTTCCTTTGCAAGAAGGGACATCTCTTCAGTGAAACAGGTGAAGGAGGAGAAAGTGGTAGAAGGCAGCTGAGTGATGTGAAATGAGAAGGGAGTACTCACATTTTGTGACGTGATATTCTATATTTATGAGAATAGAATCTTAAAAAATAGTTTTATTAAATTAAAAAAAATCAACATTTATTTCTCCTCCCCCAAAAGAAAAACGCAACCTTTGTAACAGATTTCCATATTAGCCATCTTCTAAGGAAAAGAAAGAGAAAATATGCGTGAACCTGCCCTCTGAGTCCATTAGTTCTTCATCTGGAGATGGTAGTATGTTTCATCATGAGTTCTTTAGGATTGTGGTTGGTCATATTATTGATCACAGTTACTAAGTTTTTCACAGTTTTAATATCTTTACAATATTGCTTTTATTGTATAAATTGTTCTTCTGGTTCTGCTTACTTCTTTTGGCTTCAGTTCATTTGTGGTGTGGGGTGTGTGTGTGGGGGGGGTGGCAGTTGGGGTTAAGTAACTTGCCCGGAGTCACACAGCTAGTGAGTGTTATGTGTCTGAGACTGGATTTGAACTCAGGTCCTCCTGACTCCAGGGGTAGGGCTCTATCGACTGCGCCACCTAGCTGCTCCTCCCCAGGTTTTTCTGAAGCTATCTTTCTTCATCATTTCTTATAGCACGATTGTATTCCATCACGTTCATACTATAACTTATTCAGCCATTCCCTAATTGATGAGTAGCCTCTCAGTTTGAAGGTCTTTGCCACCACAAAAAGAGCTGCTATAAATGTTTTTGGAAATATGTGTGCCCCAAGTCTCTTCCCCCTCCAATCTAGCCTCCATTCAGCTGTAAAACTGATCTTTCTGAAGTGCAGCTCTGACCATATCACCTTCCTATTTGTTAAACTCCAGTGGCTCCTTGTTACCTCCAGAATCAAACAGGAAGTCTTCTTTTGGGCTTCTGAAACCCTCTATAACCTGTCCTCTTCTTGCCTTTTCAGTTTTCTTGCGTGTTACTCATTCCCATCCACATACTATGCAGTCCAGTAACACTGGCTTTCTTGCACATAACACTCCTCTCAGCTCTGAGCATTTTCAGTCAGTCAGTAAATGTTTATTAAGCTCCTTATATGTCAGGCATTTTTCTAAGCACTGGGAATATAAAAAGATAGTCCTTACCCTCAAGGAGCTTACAGTCTAATGGGGGAGACAACATGCAAGCAAATGGATACAGAGCTATCTATGTACAGAATCAATAGGAACTAATTAAGAGTGGGAACGCCCCAGGATTCAAAGAAGTTGGGGAAAGCTTCCAGTAAAAGAGTGTTTTAGTTGGGACTTAAAGGAAGCCAATGAGGTCAGTAGTTGGAGCAGAGGAAGCCAAGTGTTCCCTCCTCTATAAGGTCCTTATACAGGAAGATCTTTTTAGCAATACTTTTTGTATTAGCGAAGAGCTGCAAATAGTTCCCATCTATTTGTAAAGAGCTAAAAAACTAATACATGAATATGATGGAATATTTCTGTGCCGTAGGAGAAATGTAAAGAATACAGATAAGCATCAGATGACTTATGGACTGATGATATACAGGGAAGTAAGTAAAGCTGGGAAAGCAGCATACATCATCATCATAATCGTCATCGTTACTAACATTTTTATAGCACTTAATATGGGCCAGGTGCTTTGCTAAGTGCTGTACAGTTTTCTCATTCGATCCTGAGAAGTAGATACTATTATCCCCATCGTACAGTTGGAGAAACTGAGGCAGACAGAGGTGAAGTGACTTGCCCAGAGTCACACTGCTAGTAAATGTTTGAGGCTACATTCGAACTTAGCTCTTTATGATTCCAGGCCCAGCACTCTATCTACTGTGCCATCTAGCTGTA